AAACATATGTACACTGACCACACCTTTACTCGTTAAAGTGTTTCCTGATAATGACTACTCAGCTCATCAAGAACAGGGGAGTGTTTTATTGGTCTCTCCTGTACATCTCCAGAACGTCTTCTGGTGAAGAGTCCAAAAAAATGAATCTGGACCTCTCCTGGAGATATTCTGTAGAAGAAGCAATAAAACAAAAAATCTATTTTCCGTCGAATATATCAGATTTTTTTTATGTTGGATGACATATTTAAAATGAAGTTTACGATGATTTATTAGAAAATTAAGATACTTCAATTTATTCGGTAAACATGATTGTAATAGTGTGCTATGTTTCAGAATTGGTGTAATTATACAATAAGTGTAAAAACAAAGAAAATTGGTTTGGAAAAAAATCGATGTGTTTGTGAAATTTTTTCTTTATACTTTACTAACTAAAATCTGACTTGAAGCGCCGACCATGTGATTTTAAGGAATAATCTTAAACTGTACAACAATTTTTCAATGTTTGTTTGGACATCTGATCTATGAAATTATTTTAAAGTAAAGAACTGGATTATTTTTGCATATATAAAAGATATTGCAGAATTCTCAAAATCTTTTTCCCTGGTGGCCCTTGAAGAAAATCTGCTGGTCCTAACTATTATTTCTATTGCAAAATTTCGATTGTCAAAACCTTCGGACCACGACTTTTTGATTGTATATGTATACAAGGTATATATGGTCATGGCGTTTCTCAGACTGTTTATTACTAAATCCGTTGATTGTGTAATGATTGATACTTTAGTTTGTGGAACAAGATTTATTTGTTAGTTGTAATTGGCTTTGAACAAACTTTCAGTAACTGAAAATACTCTCATTTCGGTGCTTTGTGTCTATTGTCATAATATTAGTTGGGTTTTATTTTTTTTGTGTCTCTTATGTTTTGAGTTATTACTACTGCAACTTTTTTTTACAGTTTGTTCTTATGTTGTACAGTTACACCACTGTCCCATTTTAGGGAAGATTTGATCGATCATAAACATGTTTAACCCTGCCATATTCTTAATGTGCCTGTGCCAAGTCAGGTGTATGTAGTTCAGTGGTTGTCGTTGGTTTATGTGTGTTGTCCTCAGTGTTGCCTCATATTTGATATTTGTAAATTGTTTTTGTTATATATAATTAGGCCGTTAGTTTTTTCGATTCAATTGTTTTACATTTTTCATGTCGGGGCCTTTAATAGCCGACTATACGATATGGAGTTTTGTCATGGTTGAAGGCCATACGGTTACCTATAATTCCTTAAATTTCCCATTATTTGAACTCCAATGGATAGTTTTCTCATTGGCAATCATACCGCATCTCCTAATTTTATATTATATACCTGACTTTTAGACTCGTGTTCAGTCCAGAAAATGCATGAAATATCTGACCCTGGACGTTAAAATTAAGCAACAAACTACCAATCATTTTTAACTCGTGTTGAATAAGGAGAAAACCATTTTCAAATATTTCTTTTGGTAGGAGAGTGGGGGACATGAGGATTTTGAAAAGGAATATGGAGGCCTAGTGAGAGCTGAAAATAGGCATGGCATGCTTAGGGACATATTAAAATGTATAATAAATCCGCAAAATAAAATATCCTGCTCCCTCCCCCCTCCCCATAATATCAAAAAGTCGTCCCCTTACTTTGATTGTTCATGTAGTTTTTATATTTATCCAGGTTATCGTCTCTACAGGGATGTTCTCCTAAGGCTGCAATACCATAAAAACGTTAATCACACAGCACACATTCTATTATATCTGAATTCATAAATTTATTAATGTCATTTAGACTAAACGACGCCATGTTTGTTATATGCCTCTGCCGTCTAAACCACCTATTTAAAAAGAAGAGATAGGAGAGTAACAGAAGATCTTCCCAATGCAAAAAAAAAATGGACCTCTTCTGGCTCACTACCGAAGAACAAAAAAACACGCCCCAGGTGTCACGTGATACTCAACCCGTTTGACGAGTTTACAGGTAAATGCCCAAGTAAAAGTGGACACCACCTAATTAATTAGATGTAAAATGTGGACATGTATTATACACTGAAGTTTGCATAATATACACTTTATAAGATACTGACGGTCTGCAAATTGAAATAGAATTAACTAACCAAAATAACTATACATATTCGATAAAGTAAAGTCACCCTGTGACAAAGCTAGAGGTTTTTTTAATTGGGGCCACAAAAACAGTTTCGTACTTGGGATTATTTTAATATATCAGATTTTTTTATGGAAATCGGAAGCCAATGTCAAATGTGTGTGCTTACATATTTGAATCCCAGCAAGCGTCCATGTTTGTACCTCATATGTCACTGAACACTTCAAAATAAATAAATATCAAATAAATGTTGACAAAAATGCAGAAGATACTAAGAGGACAATCAAAGAAATACAGACAACACCATAACCAAAAGGGAAATCACGGAAAATAGTAACAACAGTAAACAAAACACTTCACAAAACACTAAAGACTGAGCAGAACGATTCCAATGAAACACCGAGGGTAGATGCCCTAAAAGGTGAACGTAGATCTTGCTTCACAAAGTATTGTTATGCCAATACGACATATAATAAGCCGACGTTTCAGAACAACGATCTATATATATTTCTTAAAATGCATCTGTACAAAAATATTAAGAGTATATTTTTTTAGCAAAAACACAATCACGTCAATAAAAATTTTAACTCCTGGTAAATTGCTGATCGTAACTGAAATTACTTTCAATCAGACGCTATGTCTGTAACTATATTTAATTAAACTCATTCATCTGACAGTGTGTGATTGGTTTATGTTTGCTTCATCACTAAAAGGCAATAAAGAGGCGATTATTTCCGTGTTCATAATTTGGTTCAAAATGTTATAAAGCAAATTCCTTTTTGTGTGTAATTTTCTTTCTTGCTGGCTAGTTGGTTTTGACGACTTTCCACAAACTATCACTTGATAAGTTTTAATCATGTAAATATCATTTGGAAATGATGCCAGAATCCACATCAAAAGGATGCCATCCGCAAAATAAAATGAATGTCATCATCTAAATGAAGTAGATCCCACCAGCATCCAAATAAATTGAAATCCATAATCCAAGAGAATTACATTTGGCAAGACATTCACATACATTGATAAAGCTGAACCCTTATTCAAACTTCTCTATTTGTTCAATAGAATGTTAATATCGGGAGGAAAATTGAGTCTAGATGTAGATTGTTGAAATGCAAGTATCAAAACAGAAGCAATGTAAAAGTTTATTATACGTTTTAGATGTTAACATCCGAAAACTGATGTGTTCAATGCGGTGTTTGATAAAGTCATAACAGCATCATACAAAGATGAGAAAGCCAATTCCATAGTCTGTTGTCATTTATCCGTCAGTAATTTTTAGATCATACTATAAACGGACATAATAAGAGATATACTGTATAAAACAACCTCACGACTACATATAATTATGAAAGCATCCCATATTTTTAGAACCAATAAGATTTGTCAGCAGAATATGTTAAAAAAGTATAACAAAAAAACCGACTCGGAGTCCAAGGAAAATTCAAAACGGAAAGTCCCATATCAAATGCCAAAATCAAAAGCTTAAACACATGAAATTATTTATAGCGATGAAATAAATCAATAGAATTGAAACTAGGTTAGCATTTGTTGATAACATAGAAAAAAAGAAAAAAAAATATAATGAATTATGTAATATAGCCTTAACATTTTCCCTGGATCATTGTGAAATTTCGTAGAAAAAAATTTGTAACAAACATTCAAAAGTGATTCATAGCATATGATTTGTTTTTTTAAATTGTTATCGAGAATCAATTGTTTATTTTGTTTAGAAATGTTGTTGCCTTTTCGCTCACCACTTGCATTGATCTGAACGAAGTTCCGAAGTGTGTGTTAGATAGAAGCTGTTTGTGAGTGTTGTGAGTGTAAAAGCCCTTACCTTTCGGTTATTGATCTTATTTGCACTAATTACATATTATCAATTACGTAGATTACATATTAAAAGTTGCTTTTAGAGTGTAAAGTGCCTACGCTTATCTTTAGAACTTATTGATTTACATATGTTAAGTCTCATGGTTTTTCTGATTAATGACCATGGCCTTTATTTTATTTGTACATATAATTGTACCAACCTAAACATTATCATTTCAACTATCGTACATACAACAAGTGTAGGTAGGTTCGTGCAATTATTATTCAAGGTTTTTAACACCAAACTTTGATAAAAAAAACATTGTGCAATAATGAATCGTTTTGTTTTGTTATTTTGTTCTTTTTGGTGTCGTGTCTGCTCGTTTGTTTGACATTTTTAAATAGTATTGTATAGATTAGGCTGTTACTTTTCTCGGGTTAATTATTTCACATTTTCATGCTGGGGATTTTATCTATAGCAGACTATATCGTATTGGTATCTTTGTTGGAGGACTTACGATGACCTATAACCGTTTTTACGGCCTTATCTTTGACGTTTAGATTCTAGTGAAACGTTGTCTCATTGGCATTCATAATACATTTTTTTATTTTAATATTAGAAACAAAGGTGAAATCCTATGAAGACTTTTATGTACTAGCATTTAACTTTACCACCAAGTTTGCATAACCGAAGTCGTGAAGTATTTGGTGTGTATATTGTTACCTAAAAAAAAATTATTTAACCTCTATCATCAGGTTTTTTTATCGAAAGTTACCCTCAACACACATTTCCCCATGTGTCACAGAAAAAAATGTTAAAATCAATTAAAAGTGCTAAACTAATCAGATCACTACGAAACATAGAACACAACTACTGAAACGAAAAGAAAACACACAGTACCGATATATGAATCCTTACTAGTTCCAAGTCAATGACAACTAATAACTATATCATGTTTATTACCTACTAATAGCATTGTTCTGATATTTTCTTTTTGGGAAGTCGTCAAACTCATTCTAAAATTTATCACCTTTATTTGTCTACTTTTATTCTAGAAATTTAAAAATGGACAAGATGACGTTTCTTTGTTTGCTTTATACCACGTTACTGATAATCCCAAGACCAATTTTAGGATTATCTGTAGCTAAAACTAAGGTTGAAGAGGAAAAGCGTCAGGCGCAAGCATTACTACCACTAGCATCATACGCAGGATTATCGGTAGCAGTGCCAGTTTTTCTTGCCTTAGTAGCAGCTTATGGGGTTTATGCTGTTGTCAAATATGGAATAAGTAAGTATGATTACTTTTGTTGAACTTTATAAATATATATATATTGTTCATTATCCACTGTTTATGCTCTGGGTGTTTGGTGTGCACATTTATCCAAATTTGGTATGATTTTTAATTATTATTTCGAATAGAAATACATGGGAAAATTATTAAAACAGAAATAAGCCAATATCAGTGAAAATTTTAAATTTCAAGTTTCTTTGAATGGTTTTAATGGTGTACTACACGATACATATTTGATGAATGTATCAAATTATATTTTTCGATGTGCATTTGGAAGGATATTTGTTAATTTTGTAATAAATTTGAAGTTGGAATATCAATGAATTATTACAGGCAACTTGTGTTATCTTGCAACAAATGTCTTCTTCTTTTTTATTCTCAAAACGTTTATCAGTTTTCTCAATTATATCTGTTCTCAATTACAACAAAGTGTAAGGACTTCTTTTTGGTTAGATTTAAAGTTGATAAGAATTCACCACTACAATAACCTCCCAGTCAACAGCCTAACAGTGGGCCAACGTTGGCAAATTGTCGGTCCGTTGGTCGACCGTTGGTGTTGGCTGCACAACATTGGCCCAACGTTGGCAAATTGTCGGTCCATTGGTCGACAGTTGGTGTTGGCTGCACAACATTGGCCCAACGTTGGCCTGCTGTTGTAAATCCATATTATTATCTCATGTTGGTTATGAATAATCGGGCCAACGTTGGCATTACGTTAGTAGCAACATAGGGCCGATATGAAATTTTGTTAATACAAATTGATTATGGAATATTTTACGCTTTATTTCTCTTGGAAAGGCGGGTGATTTCGATTGCTGCATGCTTTATGAAAAGTTAATGTTATACCGAAAGGGTTCATTAACTGAAATTACATTTACAACTCTATGTTGGGCCAATGCTGGGCCAACGTTGATCCTATATTATACTCTATATATATAACTCAGGTAAAATTTATACTGGAATATCATTACTGTAATAAAAAAAATATATCGTTAACATAGATTGCCTGGTTAAAAGTTTAAATTTATTGCAATCATTATTTATTATAACTTTATTCATTAAACTTTGTGAAACATAATAATTTAGCAATTATATACAGAGTGATATTTGATACAGCCAGTCTGTTAATCAAGCACATTCTGATAAGGTTGACCATATGTTAGACAAATTTCAAAGATAGTTGCTATGGTAATTAAGTTTATAGGAAATCTGAATGTAATGGGATGGTCACTTTTGTGTTTATTTCCTGTTGTGTATTTGTAAGAAAGCAGTGAAACGAAGAAAACAAAAAGAGAAAATCATATTATCTGAGGTTCAAAGAAAAAGAAAGTGACATGTAAGTTATAACTTTAAACATTCTGTTTTATATACGATTGTGAATGACAAACATATTTGTTTTTTTTTAATCTGAGGGATGTTGTTCAAAATTAAAACATATAATTTCTATCATTTTAGTGATAATGTTGATCTTGAAGTTTATACGTTTCTGGTGAAATATTTTCTTGATTTTGTTTAAACCGTTTCAATCCTAAATAATCATGAAATATTTGCCACTGAACATTAGTATCATCAAACAAATTGTAAATTGCTAAAATTTTAATGTTTTATTTGTGAAATCTATAACGATTGCATTTATCACCATTACTGAAGTTAATAGAAAAAAATCTGTCTTAAGATGTACCTTGTTCCGTAATGTTTCAGAAATGTGGTATAATGATTTCTACTTCATAGAAATATAAATGAATTTGTTAGTTTTATTATTTCTAAATCGCATGCAAACATATACGATATATATGTGAAACCTGATCATATACACACTTGCATGTGTAACAGTGTTTTAGATATCAAATAGAGTATTTATTTATTAAATTCATTGCAAGAATGTTGTAATTTATATATAATTATACGGACTCGACTGAATTTAGTTTTTTGTCCTCGGCAAAACTTTTGCAAAAGAAAACCGATATTTGAAAAGTTTGTAGGAGTAAATATCAGTCACAAAAACTGACGCTTGAAATATAAAAAAAAATAGGGGGGATGTAAAAAAAAAGACTATACCACACATAAGGATATTTATAAAAGAAAAAGACTATAAAGATTATTGTCTGAATTACTTGAAGTAGCTTTTCTTTTTAATATACAATTTTACATTTAAATATAAATTTATACATGTTATAGGTTAGGTATTTGTGTACTACAGAAGACAAAATAATTCAGAGGGCAAAAATATAATACAGAGCTAGGAATAATAGAAATTATTGACAACATCCTGGCTAGAAAATGCATGGGAATGGAGATGGGAAAAAATGCATTCTACCATTTGATAGCCCAGAATGAATAAGTTTAAGAAAGTAAGTTAACATAATAGCCATCTTTTATGCTACATCGGATTCGAATTTCACAGATATATATGCATAAAATGTTTAATACTACCGTTAATGCTAGTGTATTTAGATTTGACTTTGTGTTTTTTTTTCAACTAGTTTTATTTATTTACTTAGAACGTTTTTTGACAAAGTTTCCTGTATCCATTTCTACACTCAATTGTCCTGCTTAACCTAGCTAGCGAGGTTAAGTCTAGCCAGTATGGTAAAGCATGCAATATGCCTTTTGCCTTGGATTGTATAGGCTAGGGAAAATATCTAAAAGAGTATTTTTTCTAACTATTGTAATGTGCCAGGACACCGGAAACAATGCATTTTTTGTCTCTTTGTTTATTTTTAGGAGGATTTAATATATTCTAAATATACATACATTGAGTACTCATTTACTCATTACTTTATTACAGAGGTACATGTAGTGAAATAACTTTTATGAAGATATGCTAAACTGGATATTAAAAGGATGTAACATTAGACGGAGCCAGAAATAGTGACAAAACAAAGTGTAGCAGAAAACAAAAGGAAAACTCTTGTGAATAAAAACCATGTTGGAATACAGAACTAGAAAAATAGCTGTATAAAATGAATTATCAAGGCCGTCATACAGAGCTTGGATATTACAACATAAACTGATCGATATTATACAAATGGGATAAATGAATTATCATGAATAGACTTTAAAATTTTCATTCTATAGATCTGATTTAGCAACGTATAGATACAAAAAAGACTTTTTTTTAAATTTGCTGGTTGTCTAGCTAATAATAAATTATATTTAATCATACCTTTGTATTTATATTATTTAAGAAAAATAGGTAACATGGATACGTTAATTGAGATCATACAAATATGGGTAGAAATTTCAGAAGTACCATTCCTGGAGAGAGATTGATTGGTTGTTGGTTACTGAAACGTCCATTGACAAATATTTCATGCATATTAAGGAAGATTGAGAGAAAGTTGCAAAATACAAAATTTTCGGGTAGTATGTAAGACACAACATGGTATAGTGGATCTGTAAAACGCAATAATTGCAACATTTAAAAAGTATTACTTTTGCCATTTTGAACTGATGTAAGAACCAGGAATTATTGCAGTTGTTGTCTGGAAGGGATTTTAGTATCCTTCATATGGATAGAAAAGTTTACAGATTGAACCAGCGGAGTGCCAACGTTTGTTAACAGTTTGTTTTACTACGTTGGCCCAATGTTTGTTCAACATCGGCAAGTATTATTCCATCATTGGACCAACGTTGGGCCAATGTATTGTATAAAACCTTACAACGTTGTGCCAACGTTTAGCCATCACGTTGGGCCAACATAGGGCCACTTTGCACTTATACATTGGGCCAACGTTTAAAAACAACGTCGGGCCAATGCATGTAGATACGTTGGGCCAATGTTGTGCCAACGTACCAATGTTGTCTGGGCTAAGCTTGTAGGAACGTAATGAGTACCTGTCTAAGAAGAAATCATACCGAAAAGAACACAAATATATGATATCAATCTAAATGTACGATTGGTATTTGTAGTTAAGGTACAGTAATTTTTATTCTTGTGGAACATTTATCTAGATTTGGTATAATTTTTAATAATTGATTCGAATAAAAAATACAAGGGAAAATTATTAAAACAGAAAAAAGCCAATATCATTAAAATTTTCAAATTTCAAGTTTCTTTGAATGATTTTAATTGTGTACTGTACGATATATATTTGATGAATGTATTGATTAACAATTATGTTTTTCGTTGTGCATTTGGAAGGGTATTTGTTAATTTTGTAATAAATTTGAAGTTGGAATATCAATGAATTATTACAGGCAAATTGTGGTTTCTTGCAACCAATGGCTTCTTCTTTTATTTTTCTCAAAACGTTTATCAATTTTCTCAATTATATCTATTCTCAATTACAACAAAGTGTACGGATTTCTTTTTGGTTAGATTTAAAATTGATAAGAATTCACCACTACAATAACCTTAGTTTGTTGGAACGTAATGAGTACCTGTCTAAGCAGAAATCATACCGAAAAGAACACAAATATATGACATCAATCTAAATGTACGATAGGTATTTGTAGTTAAGGTACAGTTACTTTGATTTTTATGGCAAATTTTTGATAATCGTATTTTTGTTATTTTTTTTTAATTTCATTTTTGTAAAAAAAAAAAGGACAATGATTACTACTTCAATACCATGACAAAAAAACAAAAATAAAACGTGGAAAAGACAAAAAACCGTTTACAAAACGCTATTCAGCATACACACAGATAACTAAAGACTAAACAGCACGAAAAAACAATAAACCAGAGCTATTCTCGAGGACTCTGAAAGGGTAAGCAGATCATTATGCAAATAATCGTTCATATACAAATGCGGTTATATAAGTTGCTACATAGAAATTGAAAATCCATAATGGAAAACCTGACATCCCATCTCGTTTGGTGTTACTGTCATTATAAGAGGCAGACTTAACTGTATTTATGGTATCCTTTATTTCAAGTTTTTCGGGATAGATATGTTTAACATAGTTACCAAACTTAGTTAGTTAGAGGAATTCATCTAAATAGCAGATCGTGAAATTAACTATAATGCTAGATTCCTTTCATTCTTCCTTTAAGACGTCTGCCTAATATGAATAAATAAGTGGACATAAAGCTGAAGACATTTGCTTTCCATATTAATGTCCATTTCAAAAAAACCTCATCAAAACCTAGCAAATAGGTTGACAATAAAACAAATTTGATGACGTCAGTTGAATACAAAAAAAAAAGATCAATACAAAGTTTGATATGTCCTTTCCTGCAGCAAGATATTTTTATTTACAAATAATACTATTTACGTATCAACAAGGAATGCAACTGTGTAATGGTTAGAGAAGCTGCTGCATTATATCAGTGCACAATGAAATAGACTTAGATCACATATACCCCAAAGACCAGAGGCTCCTGACTTGGGACAGGCGCAAAAATGCGGCGGGGTTAAACATGTTTTTTGAGATCTCAACCCTCCCCCTATACCTCTAGCCAATGTAGAAAAAAAAACGCACAACAGTACGCACAGTAAAACTCAGAATAAGAGAAGTCCGAGTCCGATGTCAGAATGGGAAACAAAAGAAAATAAACAAAATGACAATAATACATAAATAACAACAGACTACTAGCAGTTACTGACATGCCAGCTCCAGACCTCAATTAAACTGATTGAAAGATTATGTCTTCATCATATGAATATCAGGCATAATCCCTCCTGTTAGGGGTTTAGTATTATACCGTCATAAAATATATGAGAAGAACATAACCCGTGTCATGCCAACAACTGGTTTTAAAATAAATGTGTTTAATTCCGATGCAAAGACCCTATAAGTGAATCCATATTAAAGCCAAAATATGCAATCTTTAATGACCTGACAACAGTATCGTAACTATATCCCTTCTTAATAAGTCTGTTTAAAGGTTTTGTTAGCTTTTGAACCCCGCTTTTAAATGATTATACGTTTTTAATTTTGTAATGTGTTAAGTTGAGTAATTTGGTTGACCTCGCAAATTAACGCTGTTTGTGAGGGCATTTATGAATCTTGTGCATCTTATCTATTCCGATGAAATGTGACCTCGTTCTCCATCTTTGGTTGAAATTCAAAAGGAACATAGACAAGATATTTGACTGCTTAGAATTTCTTCTTTTGTAAAAGTGTCGAATGAGAATATATTTGGTTTTCAGGTGAAATGTCAATATAGAATTCTCTTTGTATGTAGTTTATATAATGTCATGAGGACACACATATCGTTGAAAAAGGTATTGAAGCATTAACAACATCTCGTTTAATCATATCTCGTTATTGAATCCTATCTATCGTAATATACTCTATAACTATTTTACATGGTTCAATATTTACTAATCCATTACAGAGTCAGACCATGACAGTCATTCCTGTGCCAATAATAGAGGATGGTGTAGAGCTATATGTTTCGATCACGAAGTGGTGGATCATTATCATAGTGATATTTGTGGCGCATACAAATGCTGTCGCTCTACACATATTTAAGAGAGATAGCAACCAATGACGCTATATATATGCAAGTTTGTCATCGTCTTGATTTTTCTTGATTCTTTGGTATTTGATTTGATTTTTATTGTTTACTTTCTACTTTAAAGGTAATTAAATGATTATATAAACCTGTCTTACGTATATCATATTTTAAGAATGTTGACTTGTTCAATATTTTTATTATTAATGACAAGGGAGTGCTTTATTCAGCAAGACTACGTAGGAAATTAATCGGTAAACCCTATTATCAGTTCCAGCTTGATGAACAACACAAATCTCAAATTCGTGAATAGCATTATTAAAGTAGGGCTTTTGGGCAGAATATGTGATCACCAGTCAATACTGATGTATTGTGACCTCAAAAAACACAGTAAAAACGAATTTCTTATGATACAAGAGTTAATAACAAATACAAAATATGTTTTGTTCTTCCTCAAAATCATTGTACCTGCAGCAATAAACATACCAGTATTGTAGTTGTTCAGAACAGGTCATGTTGGAATAAGTGTTTCAAAAGTAATCTGGAAATTTTGATGAAATTGGTTGAGTTAAAGAAACCGACGCAGCTAGACAGCAATGCGTCTGAAGAAAAAGCAGTTAATCCGGTTCTTATCGTTTATTTGTTACAACATCATATCTAAGCTGAATTGTCAAGTGACAAAAAGTTTAGATTTTTCGCATGTTTTCGTAATGTTTATCCTGATATATAAATCAAAATTAAGATGAATGTAAAAAAAACTGTTAAAAATGTGTTCATGATACCTGGGTTCATGAACTATTTTATAAACATTCGTTAATGATGCAAAAAGTAAAAAAAAAAATACCGAACTCTGAGGAAAATTCAAAACGGAAAGTCCATAATAAAATGGCAAAATCAAAAGATCAAACACATCAAACGAATGGATAACAACTGTCATATTCCTGTTTTGTTACAGGCATTTTTTGTGGAGAAAATGGTGGATTAAACCTGGTTTTGTAGCTAGCTAAACCTCTCATTTGTATGACAGTCGCATAAAATTCCATTATATTGACAACAATGTGTGAACAAAACATACAGATATAATAGGTAAAAGACACCACCACGGATGCGCACAGAAAATATCAGTATTAATGAAAAGAAAGCGCATATATTAAAATAGATGTTTGCACACAATAAATGCATAAAAATGTTATTTGAAAATTGATGTTATTTCAAAATTAGTACCGTTAATGTTATTTCTCCCACTGACTCGATACCTCTGATGGTCGTCAACGAGAGTATCATGAGCCCAGTAGTAATTTTCTTCGGCACTAGCATGAAATACGGATATTGTTTTTATTGAAATTTGCTGCCTCGACAAAGCTCTTGATTCCTTGTTGAGGTTTCGCTTTACTTTCAGTTCATTTTGGTTTTTAATCAACTCTTCAAAATGAAATGAAGCGCTTTAAATATTTCTGGAGTCCGGAGCTCTTTACTGGATATACATTCAACGTTTATATTTGAATCTTTATCACAATACCACAAGAGCTTGATAACCAATTATATTTGATCGGTCGATAAAACAAATTGCAATTTGCACATTATTTTCTATTGGTTTTCATCAGCATGAATGGTAAATTCCGTTATCTTATATATGGTTACTTTCTCATTTATTCATTATAAAGGATTTTCAAACTTTAGCAAACTACAACTAACTATGTCGTACTGATCCTAGCTTCCACGTTGAACACCATGGCTAAAATCAGATGCAATGACAACGTTAGTTAGATACAACTTTGAAATCTGAAGACGGAGAAACTGCAAACCTGGACTTAACAAAACCTGGGTACAGAGCAAAAATATCCTGGCATGTAAGCAATACCTTCCTCACTAGTGTTCAGAGTCATATTTCTCAAATTCAGTTAAATTACTCATTAAAGATAGTCGTAGCTAAGTGTGCCATACGCATGTTTTGTGTAGATAAGGTAGGATCAGCTATGTCTTATGAATTCTTCGACAATATTGATGAAGTAGGTATCTTATTAAGTCCAAAATGAAGTGAAATTTAAAAAAATGCACCTTAAATGGATTAATATTTCAACAAACAGTTGCGGTATTCCCTTGGCAAAAATTAGTTGGTTTACAGTATTGTGAATCACTGTGTCGGCAAAATTTTTTTGGACTTCGTAGACGATAAACGTACAATGTCGTGTTAAACAAGAAGAAAGTTAAGGCGACGAAAACTAAAAACATAGCAGCACGAATCCAAAAATAAACTGGGAATGATATCAAATAAATTGTATATCAAATATGAACTAAACGACATATATATTTGCTCCATACTTTATGGCTGATTATACAAGGACCAAATTTTAGGAAAACTAAGGTTGTAAACGAAAAGAGCACAACGGCTATACTCTTACACAAACGAGGGAATTACTTTGTCATGACCTGTTTTTTTTCTTGCCTTCAAAAATAGTGCAGATATACCCAGGCAATTATTTCGATACGACTTTTGTCAATTCGTTACATAATTCAAGCAAAACAAAAGCACAAAATGAGAAAATATCGGTTATAAAATAGATTGTAGTCTGTGAATTGATGACATGTATCATTTATCTAATATTACAAATGTTATGAGTGTACTGTACTTTAACTATTTGTTCGCTTAATCATGTAACAAATAGTGGAAATTGAACAGTGAAGAGAATAATATGATTTTACAGCAATATTCTACATACACACAAAACATAGGTCAAATTCTCACTATTATACACGTCTGTTAAGGTTGCTTACCCAATTTTGTCAATGTAAGGGACATAAAAACAACTGTCATACAAGTGGGAAGGTATAACTAGATATAAAACTAGGTTTAACCCACTTTTTTCGGAAATGTCTGTACCATGTCGTCAGTAATATGTCAGTTACTTTTCATTTGTTCCGTTGATTGATAGCGTTTGATTTTGTCGGTTTTATTGGACTTGCCATTTTTACATTTGCATTTGGGTTTGGTATTTTTGTGATGCTTTTTTTTCTCACCTGTGTTCTTGTAAAATTTTAATGGAACGAAATCATTAACCAAAACGAATTAATGTGCTACATATTGGTGTAAATTGTTTTTTACTTGGGTACATATTTCAAATTTTTCACAATTTTTCAAAGTTGCAGTTAGAGCATCTATAATGCAATTAAATTTGATACTAATGTGTAAAATTGTAATAAGACGATTTTACAAACTATTTGTACAGAGATGTAGCTGTGATACGGTAAATTGTATTTCTAAATGAAATTTGGTATATAGCTATTATAAAGTATTCAAAATTGCCCTTTATCTTCAAGCAACGAAATAAAACTGCTTCAAGGAAAATCTGTATACAGTTATATGTATCAGATATCAGAATGCAAGTTCATATTATTGCTATAGTCATCCAGTTGCATTATTCGCATTAATAGCATCCCAAGAATTTCTTATTGAATCATTTATATACTTCTAAATTTGTTTTTTTGTGTATGTTTTGTAAGCAAAGGGGGACAATTCATATATTTAGGACAAATTGTCGTCCCTGCCTGTTCATAGTAAGTGGGACAAAAATAGTATATTGATCCAGATCTGACAGTAACTTTGACAAGTAAAGTTCATTACCCACATACTGATAAATCAATTTGGATTGAACAATAGGCGGTAACGGAAGGAATACTCACATGCAACAAATAAGAAAATCATGAGAGAGGCAGAAGATACCAAAGGAATATTCAAACTCATAAGTCGAAGATAAACTGACAACACCAAGGCAATAAACGATCAATAGAAAAAGCACAAAATAGAATACTTGAAACATAGAAAAGTCAATAAAACACGAAGCCCGTCGAGGTTGAGGTGATCACAGGTGCTCCTGAAGGGTAAGCAGATACTTCTCCACATGTTGCAACCTTCATATAGCAAATTCGTATATATAAGTCGATAAGTTATAAGCATTGACTACCAGACTTATAGTAAGTGTAAACCGAAATTAATCGCTTCAATACAGCAATAAATAACTTTATTTGCATCTTTAATAAGATTCAGCTGACACAACTAGTTACAACAAACAACCAATACAAATCATGGTCATATCGGAATGGTTTAGTTAGTTTTTGCTAATAGTTGAAAGAGAACCCCTTTCGTCTGGCGGTCCAGATTCCTGTCGACTCATCCTTCTCTTAACGGCTATTATTGCACGGCGGTTGAATAAGACGGTTGATAGAAATATCAAAATGCCTTGGAAATTAAGAAGCATGGCGGTCATGTGACGGCACATATCACCAAAGAAATGTACCATAAATAAAATTATCCATGCTGAACCACACACTATTGAAAGTTTAGCATAGAAAATACATTTAAAGCGTTCTCCTTTCCTTTTTTTTAATCTTAACGTTGTAGCAAATGCTGCCTTTTTTTTGTGAGATTCTATTCCATAAATTATGATACCGAAACAGACACAATTGAAAACTGAACTTATAAAAAGGGGGATGCCCATGATATAAATAGCAATGAAAAAATCAGGAAAACACCCCGGTACACGACCATATGCATTTTGGTTATCAAACAGTTTATCAGTCACTAAGTAAGAAGTAGATGTCAGCAGTAATGGTATCCCCCATCCTGCAATACAATATATTCCAAATCGTCTACTGTGTTCTTGGTGGGGTCTTGTTTTCAGTACTCTGTAAGCATTGAATGTTCTGGCTATATCAAATGCCAGCACAGACGTCCAGGCAAAGACAGCCAGCCAGAAATATTGTAAAATTACTGCTATTGCAATGCAAATATTCCGGTCCTCTATGCCAAAGTCATGGAACATAAACATTTGACTTATAAACATGGCCCCTACAAAGCTACACAAGTTCTTGCCATGCAAATTCCGCAATTCCGGCAACGCAAGATGGATAAACATAGTGAAACACAAACAGAGCAACGATAAAAGCAAGGCAATATCTTCGACCAAAGGCCATGTGGTTCCTCTGGATGGACCATGCCTATTTCCTCTCGGGCAGTGTT